ATGAATCGGGAGCCATCAACTTTAGGTTTAAACTCAACACATCTCAGATATCAATAATATTCAAAGAATTACTTTCGAAATAAGACTTTAGCACCAGTTTTAGTAGGCGTAAGATCCAAATTAGATGGATTTGTACCTTAGATAAACTATTCAGTGTACCGAATTGTAACAGTCTGACTGCTATTACGTTCAGGTTTGTATTTTAAGATTGGAGTAGCCTTCGATCACTTATACGAGATTATATCGTATTTCACATTGTATATCAACGCCTAATTTTCACAAAGGATCAATAAGGATATAGGATATACAGCTACAACTTCCATCCATTTTTGTGTTTTCGAAATGTTAACGCAAGAACCATTATAATTGTTTCTTGCAAAATTCACTTTATTGCATAAAATTTGATGCGCCTAACTATATTAGCAACTATCGATACTCAATTATCCACAGCTTTATGGACATTATTGTACAATTTGTTACACGATTATTTTAGCATATGCAATCACATCTCGCCAACTAATCACAAGATCAAACTAAATTCGCTTGATCTACCGTAAACCATTCCTTTTGATTCTAAGCGTTACGCTCAATTCAGTGTATTAAATTAATTAGCGCAGTTTACAGTATTAATATCTAAAAGTTCTTATATATTTATCATTGTAAAAAGCTACGATATGTGCTATATAATCCTCTAATGATGTGATAGAAGCTAGCAAAATCTTACAATCAAATGCATAACTTAAGAATTATTTTCGTGCAATCTCATTATTTTAATCTTAAGCCAATGTTGGGCAGCAATACACAGATAGATTGACCATCCTATCTAAAATACACTCTGAAGTTAAAGTTTAACTTCTACTACAAATCCCACTCACCTAGCCTTTAAACGAGCAGCGCGGGGATTTTTATACTACTGTTAGATGACTGTGATTATGGGTTCATTTCAATAGGTCAGTATAAGATTCTTAGTACTTTTAACCTCAAGATTTCTTCATGTAAAACGAATAGCTTTAAGGTAGTCATTTCTGCAGAGTACTGATTTTAAAATAGTATTCGTTATATCGCTCAGGATGGCCACTGGGCCTTTAAATTTTGATTTCATGTAATACTCTGATGAAAATTGAATAAACATAGAATCTTTATAGAGTTTTCTACACAGCCATTTTGATTGTTACATTTTCTTATAACGGTTGTTATCGACAGAGCAAGCTTTGCTTGCATACGACAGCGACCCTTAGACACATTATGATGATTGGTATAGAATTGACCACAGTACTAAGGACATTCTACCGCACTGTCAATATCTTACAGTACCTGCTAATCTTAACTTGGTATGTCCATCACCGTACATTAGTTATCATAATGTGCTTTGGACCATTAACTAATCTTAATATAGCATTTCATAGTATTTCATCCGTGAGTGCATTATTTAAAAGTAGTATTCTACAAGCATAGCTGTGAATATAGTAGTGCCTGGCTATTACCGGGATATGTATAATGTCGAATGGTAATACTATCTGTTAATTATTAACAAATGGGTACGTTATCGTAAACCGTCAGAAAAGCGACGTGAGTTTGTACTAGTTTTTTTCTAAAACTTATATCACGGTGTTATACACTATAATATCTAGATTATAGTAGAAATATCTATGTTAGGATAATTTTATTGATTTACCCTTATTTGAAGAGTTTCTTATTTAGATATGTGAAATTTAAATATAGTACTAGCTTTTATTGTAATTTATACATAAATACAGCCTACTGAAATTAGTAGTTTGATTAGGGAATCGAGAATAATCTTCTTATAATTCAAGTCACTGTGATTGTAATTTACTTGTGGTAAATTGTTGATTATCGTAGAAATGTTCTGTGATAGGACATACTGTAATCCAACAATTTTGTATTAGTCATTCGATGTATATGTTCGTAAATACTGTTGCCTTCATTAGGTAGCAGTAGATAAAATTAGCTTTTCATTCATCAGCAGATTCTAACGTTAATATTACTAACTAGGATGTCTTTGCTATTGTAAAAGAGTATATAAATGCGATATATCGTGTAATAAAAGGAGTTCTTAAGATTAGTGTTTAAGGTAAGATACGAAGCGTCTAAGTCTTTTTGTGGTCTACTGGTCTAGGAAAAGTAATCCTGAAAGAGTAGATATTGCTCCCTGATAACTAGTTGATCGCACATTACGTTATCTTGTTGCAAAGCTGTTTTGTAACAACTTATTAGATACATTGCATTATCTTGTATAAGTATAAGTAAAGTTATGATTAGCTTAGATGACAAGCGCAATAAACATTGTAAATTGCAATTTTAATGAAAATATGGACATACGCGCCAAGAAACTGTCGCTTACTCGTACCCATCCTAAATCCCATACTTAAAATATACAGTAGATTATGACTACTTTAAATTTCTACCATTAGGCATGGATTCTTTCTGAGTACTCGAAGGTAGACAATGATATGACATTGAAATTTTTCAAAAATGAGCTATTTATTTGATCGCAGACGAAGCAAAATTAGTTAATACGTGTCACGATGCTAACTCACCGTACCAAAATAGTGCATGCTTTGCGGCTACAATGATATTGTCAGCCGAGGAGATTATGTAACCAGATATAGATTGTGGACGGTACGATTTAAATTGTGATATGTTAAAGGTCATTTATATCTATAGTTGGATTAGTAGTATTCTAAGAGGCGTGTAAAAGCTTGTAGATAAAATCTATTTAAACGATTGGGTGGAATTACTATCGAATAAGCTACCGGAGCAAACAACAATTTAAATGAGATATTTTAATTTACATAGCAATTAATATTTCGGAGCATAGCTCCGTAACAACTACTAACTATTTACTATTATGTACTCATATGAAGTTAGCTCGTAGTTCCTAAGGTTAAAAGTATAACGGAAATCGAAGGCGTACGAATTATTGCGAGATCGTAGATTCGATCACAACGTTATCTTGTCACACGGGAGTTTGTGACAATACGCTTGAATACGGAACATGGCATAAGCCTGGCTACATGAGTAACTTCAAGCGTCCACCTAAATTATGTTATAAGGTGAAAGCATTTTCTAGTTTATGTCTTAAATGTTATAAAGAACTTTCTAGCTGGAAAAATAGCAGTTCTGATAGTCTTATGTCTTGGACTTTAAGCACTTACTAGTAGCTTGGTATTTTATTTTATCACATTTACAATTAGCACATTACTAAGAGAAAAATCTTGTCATCCGTTAGTTCCAAACAATTTACTGTAAAGCAAAATCAGTTCCTCAAATTGTAAATTAATTATTGTTTACATGTATTAATATTTTCAATCATGCCATCTAAGGATCTTTGATAGGATCGTAAATCAGAAATTAGTTAAATTTGGCTTTTAAGGATTTACTTAAATGTATCTAAATTGGCTATGGTTCGTTAGCGAACATAGCTTTATGCAATTCTATAAGCTCAGAACACGAAATTAAATAACACTCTAGATACAGAGCAACATAATGCTCGTTATAATATACTCGGGAAAAGAAATTAATCTACTTCTATTTATATGCTGTTTATAGAAACTTACCCACAAATGGCGCAGTGATAACTATTATGCGGAAACTGCACCAGCAGTAGAAATATATCCGTAGCTAACAGTAACACCTAAGCCATTACTAGTTGTTTTACTTGCTTAAAATATTATTAATTAAAATTACGAAGGGCATCATTAGAGATACTACTTTAAAATATATTATGATGCGGCTACAAGCATAGTGAACATACATATACCGAGACTGCCTGAATACTAGTACAACAAGGCTTCGACGGGAATCGGTGTTTTATATATATTAACCATCATTTAGCACTGTATTTGAGAAGAAGCTCTTTTTCTTAAGGCAATAATCTCATTTATTTTTTCCGGATTTGCTGTAACTTCATCAATATCACCATATATTTTAGATACCATTTTGTATTTTCGAAATCGTAGACGCATGGCGTCAGAAAATGTTTGAGGTTTCTAAAAAATTTAATAAATATATAACATCGGTTACAATATGTTCCAGTATTTCCTCTATCAAAAGTAGCTCTCTGTTATAAAGTTACTGATATCGTCTAATTTTTCCTTAAATTATAAATTATGAGACTGGACCTCCGTAGGTATGTATACGTATACATATAATGAGTAAACCGTATATTGCTATCTATAGCAGCAGACTATAAAAATATGAATTATTTGAAAATCTATTGGTTTAAGTTACGAAATTCCAAATAAATTCGTTTTCTTTTTTGATACAATGCTGTATTATATATATACTATACATTAATTATGACTTTGTTTTATTGAATTAAGTAAAAGAACTTAAAAGTTAGCAAAACAGCTTAAAATCATGTACCGTTGGATCTGATGGATCGATATCCCCCTTTAAGGCTATTATCCATTCGATGCACAGGACTATAAGACTTATTCCAATCGCACAAAGAACTAAAACAAACACTCCATACATGTGATTGATATCAATTTCTTTGTAGCCGCTATTTGAAGTTGCTGTTTCGGTAGTGCAAGTACTTGACTTTTTGTACCTGTTTATAATGTACGACACAAAATAAGTTTGACTATTTAACGCAAGTTAACACGTCGTTGTAAAGGACACATGTTAGTGAGATTACAACTAGAGAATTCATGACGGTACAGTAAAATTATTTTCAGTTTAACATAGCAGCCTACAGTAAGATGATAATTCAAAATAAATTAAGCATGTTTAAAAGGATAAGAAAGATGAATAACTAGCTAAAAATACTTTTACTGATAGGCGGTAGTGTCTATACCGTATTTTAATAGCAGTCTACTGCGTAGTGGTAATTTGTCGTAAATTATACATGCCTATAAAGATTTTAATGAAGGCAAGTAACTTATTAGATAAAAATTTTACTAATAAACTATAGTGTATGGTAATTTTTCTGATAAGCAACAATTTTTGCATTATCTTTCATTATCAATTTACTATATTTAGACGAACCATGCATTAAGCCTACTCGCCACATAACCACTTTGTCTTAATTTTAAAATTTCAATGCTAATTTCATTAGTGAATGGAGATCCTTTCCGGAGCCCGAGTGCGTAGCCATCTTTACGAAATTCTTGGCCTACGGTTATTAGATTGCAGTATTTACTCTTGTAGTAACTCAGTAAAGCTGCATCCCATAAAAATGCGTAATTTCCTTGTCGAGTTTTATTAACGCCCACTTCCGTACTTGGAACATTGACTAGATGGCTTGCCATTTCATAGTATGGGCTTATTCTAGTCTGCCGAAAAAAGTTGTGTACACTACTACCAGATACTGTTCCATATTTGACTTTGCTTTGAGAAGCTAACTTCTGGATTGAATTGATATCTATGAAAGCATATAAAAAGAACAACGTCAAAAAATACTTAAACATAAGTCATGAAAAAATGAAAGGATAAATAAAAACGATTTTAATATATATGATGTTGTCTACTATTATTAAAGTTGTCGATACCTGAACTTAGGCTATCAACCGTTAAAAACGCAGCCAGATTAGCTGTATAGGTAGCAATGACAATGCATGCCATTATCCAGGCAGCGACTAGCGTTATTCGACCGGATAATGCAATAGGAACTCTATCATTTCCTTGTTGTAGAAAGGTTGCCAGGGAATTCCAAATCGCATTACCCACGGTTAGAGAAGAAATAGTTTCCTCATTGCCATTTTTCCATTCTCGAATTTCTCGAACTTTTACCAGTTGACTACCGTCCATATTTTGTGTTAATTTAGATATAGGCAAACTTTCTGTAGCCAAACCGTACGTATCAAAAGGATTAAGTAAACCATTTGTAAAGAAGGCAACTGCTAGAATAATTATAAGTCCTAAAATACACAACCATAAATATCCAGTAAAAGGTGCAAAACATTGAAAAATTGAAGGTGGGCGAACTTCAGGCTTTTTGATTAGAATGGTAGCCCCTTGATCGAGGAAAGGTATGGTAAAATCGATCTCTCCCGCTCGACTGACAGATATGGAAAATGCTCCAGCAGCAATATCAGCGTCCTATCGATATTAAATCGCGTCAAATTTGATCAGAAAAAAACAATGTCGTCCAAAAAGTGTGTTTGAGGCATCTTCGTTAATTTCATACCAGAAAAATATAAAATTACCAGATCATGATGCGCCAGATCTGCATGCATCTAACCTGATCCGTTAATTCGCCGACCATTCCACTCCATTTATTCGTCTCTGTATTATATCCACCATAGCTGTCATCTTTGACTAATTGCAATGTATACGTAAATTTTAATGATGTAGCCAATCTGTTCAAGAGATCTGTGATAAAACCTTCATATCTATCATTCCCATTCAATTTTGCCCAATCAGCTTTATAATTCAAGAACGGTGGATCCTAAATCAAATGAAACGTCAGACGTATTAATTGCGACTCAAGAAACGACTCAACACTTGTAGTAAATTTTACTTTAATCCGTAAGATTACTTCCCTAGCTTACAGTATGGTAACTGGAATCATTACGAAGTACACACACTAACGCATAATACAATATAACGTAGTTCTCTTCTTCTTCACCTTTTATTGATTACTATTCCGATTATATATACTCTATCAATCGTAGCAAACATATTTACTACGCTATCAGCCTATTTCTAATAACAATAATGTTATTACGATTAAGTAGTTATCATATACGGGTATTTAAAGTAATAAACAATTTCATACATAAGTTTTTCTCAATTACAAGCTCCATTAAATTTCTTTTTTTTTTAATACCTACTGGAAACATTTACTATTCCATCATAATATCATAAGGATTTACTTTATCACTAACAATAACGCTTTCTAAAGCAGTGCTTTATATTTCTAAGGAGTTCAATACAAAATGTTATCGCAAACTATATATCCGCACTTAAGTTATTTTCATGACTGTGACATAATATTTTCCCTTTAATATTTTAGCTGTTATACAGTTTAAATTTGCTGACATAGCTTACAATTTTCGTTGTTACATTGAAATGCTTTCCTTGCAGGCCAGTATCAAATTTACGCGAATCATGAATATTATCCATAAATTTAACTGCAACCCCATTTATTGTAGCACCTGATACTTTGTTCCAGCTCCCAATCTGCATTTGATAAATGAAATAAAGGTGATAGCTTACATTGGATTATTTTTAACACCCAAATTACGTTGGAATCTAGACTAGCACATATATACTATACTTACACTCTTCCAGGTCTTATTAACTAGATTAACTACTTCATAGTTCGGATTGTATGGTGCATGTCTAGCGTCGAAACGGATTGGTCCAGAAGAGCCAGGGCCTTTCGACTATTAATTAAATTTGTTTAACAAATTGATGGATTACTTTATTTTAAAATATACAATGCTGTCAAGAATTCTATTACGTCTTAATGTAGCCTAGTTTTCATAATGAACGTCTTTATGATTAAATTTACTTATTTAGGAATATACATATCTAAATCAACATATTTATAGTATTTTACAGAAATACTTTTGTTAGCAATTGCTTAGTTATAACAATATTTTCTTTTCATAATCTCAAGATATAACAAAATTAATGTATTTATTGCCCAAAAATAGCTTTGAACTTCATATGGTTTGAAAAACTAGAACAATTACTAACTAGACGCTGACGAATGACTAGATTAATCCTAGTTTTACTAGGAAATTACCCTCCGTAGAGTACGTATTCCTTGTAAGTTCGAAGTAAATTTTATCTAGACATACCTTCACAATATTTTGCAGCAATATTTGACCATTTTCCCACTTTGACAAATTTAGGCATGATAATTTTATTGGAGCAATACTTTGTAATTGCGAGAATGATTCTCTTAAGCCGTAGGCGATTGCTATGACGGCGTCATAATATCGTAGAAACACCGGCTGAAGATATAAATAATAATCACAACGTTAACTTGGAACTGTGTTAAATTACAATTAAAGCTGATAATTTCAAATTCGTACATCTAGTCTGTATCAAATGATATTCATTACACATCTGTGAATTTCTATCATCTTATGGAAGTTTGAATAGCACCAAGAGTAGTTACAAAAATGTTATTGGTAGTACAGAATAATGTTATGCGATGCTAGAATAATTAATAATCCTGTTAAATTGTGGAATTTATCATTATAATGTAAGAAAATAAAATAATGAAGTAACACACTTGTATTATATTTCAATTTTTTGCCCATATTCATTTTAGAAAACTTTGGTTTATGATAATTGCAATTTTGTTATATTAAAACATGCTCAAACTTACTGTATGCTACCTGTTGATCCATGAATGCATGGATGATATTGTAAATTAAAATTGCGAACTCGTTATTATAGGTGATGATACGTTAAATATCATCTGGAAGCGAAAGGTGTCATTAATCCTAACAGTTACTTACAACTAATAACAATTATAAGACTTTACGTTATAAAAATAAAAGATTGCTACTGTTTATTTTATTCACTCGAAGTCAGCAAAAAGTTAGTAGCCACGTCTGCTAGAAACAATAATAATGATATTTCTTATCAATGATGAGTTTAAATTAGATAAATTTGTATAACTTAACATTTTAGAGGATGAAAATGTGATAGTAGTTTCATATGTAAAATTTAATTAGGGTTAAGGTCTAAATTGCTTTTGGTCTTTGTTAAATATTAAGTTAATAGCTATGACGAATTGAAAATTATTTTTGTATAATATCAATCTGATAAGAATTAAGTTTGATCAACTGTCGTTAAGCTTTTTTTCAATACTTTAAGAGACGGCTATGCGATCTCTTGCTAGAATATAGCAGAAATTATAAAGACAATTGCATGCATTATTATGCTGCCATTAGAAATCTAATTTTGCTGTTTTTACTTTTCAAGTGAACTACTCATCTGAAATCTTTGCAATATTAAGCATAGGTTAAATTTACCTCTAAACTTGTTTTATATTTCCTTTTCCAAGCAGTTTCAACTTGTCCATATAGTTCACCTTTATCGTTGGAGCTCATGATTCCTATAGCACCAGTCAAGTAACCAGGAGGATCAAGGTTCAACCAACCCTAAAAGTGAGCATTAGTAAATTTGTGTTAAATAGCATAAAATAACTCTGAAAAATGTTTGAAATTAGTAAAAGAAAAGGTATGAATGAATGGATCTACAATTAGTATAAGCTGCATTTTAATTTAGGTTTAAGATAGCAACAAATTTCTACTCAATGGATACTGATATATAAATAATTTTATATTCAAGACAACAGATTGATTTGAATCGCTAATTTATCATTCATAATCCTTCATACTTCAAATAATTATAATTAAAACTATTCCAAATACTACTGCTAAACGAACTCAAGACATTTTACAATCCTCAAGCTACTTTTAAATTTAAAAAATCTTTGAAAATTCTATTCATGGTGCAAATATTTCAAAGCTTTCAAGATTACGTGATAAAATACAAGATTTTATACCGTTATAGCAATAACTAAAGTAAACAATTTAAAAAGTAATTTTTGTAACGATAAGGTAGGTTCGAAACCAAAGTATGAACTCTTCTGGTGGTATCATAATACTTAACATAGTAACCAAAGTATGTCCAAACGTTGCAATACCTCAGTAATAGTATTATCGAAGAGAACCCACTGAAACCCATTGCCAGTTAATCCCAATCTATGAGCTCGTTTTATAACAATGGCAGCCTGATCGGAGAGACAGCTTAGAATGATGACTTTAGCCCCTTTAATAATTTAATATCTCTATCAATTCAGGGAAAAAAGATACAATCATTGTTTATTATCTCAGATTATGTTTACCTGAATTTTTAACCTTCATTAAATGATCATCGATAATCGGAAAATTATTAGTTTCTTCTGTATTAAAAGTTTCAAACGCTAAAATTTTCCAATCTCGTCCCGCTGCAACATTTCGAAACTCGGATACCGAATTAATACCTGAGCATATGTAAAGGTTACAATATTGAAGACGAACAGAAATATCTTTAAAAAGCTAATATTAAGAGTAATCATACGTGAAAGATCCCAATTTTATTTACAATTTGCGGTATAGACTTAATAGTTAAACGCTGAGTTAATTGCTTATTTATTCATACTGTATTTTAGCTACTAATGACGTAGGATGTGTCAGTACGGCTGGCCTTATTCCTTACGAAATATTCCTTATAGTAACTTACATTATCCATTCTCACATATAGGAATATTTCATTTAAACGAGTATAAGTATGATTTCGTGATAAAATGCGAAATTACATCTGATAAAACGGTCATTTGTGCATAACTTTAAAGGATGATTTAATATTGCAAGAAAATGTAAAAACAGGCTTCAACTTATTAATCCGTTATAATATGTCGCATTCTCATTCATAGAATTTTTCTATAAAATTATTATAATCTCCGTACGTTATGGTGTCACGATACGAATTACTGTGAAGAATTAAATGATAAAATTTAAAGAATTAACATTTATATATGGTGATTACAATTAATTGCTTACAGTAGGAATCACTGAAGTTATAATATGTTAGTAAATTATATGTTGTATTGTAATACAATTCTATATAATACTTGCATACATTACAAGCTCTTGTAAATGTAATTGAGATTAATGCTAGTATGTAGGTGTATTGACATGACTCTGCGAATACATATTGTAGTCCGATTAGGCAAAATCAGTCAGTAAATGTCCATATCGATAAATATTATTGTAGAATGATTTATCAATGTTGGCCACTGCCGATAGGTATTGAAGCTAGGTAGACCATTGAATAAAATCAATTCTATAGTTTTGCAACCTAGAAACAAAGGCGTCTAAGTTCTTGTGAGTAGTTAAGAGACAATAAAACCCACCAACTTTAGAAATTTGGAGATTTTTTTACGTAAACTTGTCGCAAAACTGTTTTGTGACATGTGGATCTTATTACAGATTCGGCTAAAACTAGTATAGTTATCATAGAGTCAATTATTATAATTATTGAAAGCTACGCATTTCAACTCATTAATTTATGAAAATAGATAATTCTAATATAGCATTATTTTTCTTAAATCTTTAAAAATTTCTGTTATAGAATAAATATTACTGTATGACTAAATTAGTCACTGGTATTAACGCAATGAAAGGTGCAGAGCCTGAAAATTAAGGAACGCTCTTCATCTTATTCATCTGTTAAATCTATAGCCTTAAGTTTTGTACTTATGTAATTTCTTTACGGGATGTACTGTAGTACTATGTATAACGAATAAATGTTGTTACGTACATACCATAATCCGTGTTGGAAACGATGATAGCGGCATAAGACCAATGAAATCGTTGGAATATATCTGCTAATACTCGACTTTGCCACTTATCGCTAGGTGACATGCGAACTAAA